ATGTGGGTCAAAAAGGATCTTGTACAGCCAAGATTGAGAACCGTTGGTCTAGAACAGAGGCAGGCAGACTATGGCCCATAACCTGTTTCTATCAATAAAGTTTTACTGAAACACAGCCATGCCCATTCATTCTCATATCCTCAGTGGCTGCTTTCTCACTGCGATGTAGAGTTGAATTAGTTGTACAGAGTTGAAGAATTTGCCACAGAGCGAGCATTTAGCCCACAAGCCTAAAATATTTATCTGGCCCTTTGCAGAAAAAGTTTGCTGACCACTGGATAGAGCCCAGCACAAAAGGTTGGTTAAAAAAGTCTCCTGGACTGGCCAGTTGTTGGCCCAAGTTTGGAAAACTCTTTTAAGGTGTACTCTACTAGTTCCTTTATTCTCCTGTAGACAAAATCTGGGAAGTGAAGGGGCGACAGAGAAACTTGTATTTGTACTTGACCATCATTCTCTCCAAAGAGAGAATGAGCTCTCATTCTCATTTCTCATTTTCCAGTCGCCTGGGGACACATTTGGACACAGTTACTCACGGCCCTGATACCTGACCCCCAACCCAACTCAAAAACAAGGCCTTGCTGTCCCCTGGTCAAAAGTAGGGCACACAGAGCCTCGAGTTTCATCCCAAACAGCACCCCAGCACTGGCAGAACCGCATCTCACGTTTCTATCGGGACTCTCTTGATGCAAAGAGAGCCTTGTCCCGGGCTTTGGGAAGCGGCCTTATCACAGAGCTCCCTGGACCTCAGGACATGGGATTAGGTGGCGTGCTGACTCCTGCATCCACTGTGATGCACAAGCTGTGGCAGCCCAGCAGCCACGCTTGTCTTAGTTTGTTGTCCTTTCCCAGGTTCTGTCTGTGCCTGGCGTACCCAGTGGTTCAGTCCTGTTTCTCAAAGCTCTCCAGTCGAAAAATTGGGGATGGAGGGGAGAAGGGAGAGGAGAAGGGAAGTGGCAGGTTTGTCTGATTGGAAGCCGGAGAAGGGGTGAGGGTAGTTGCGGAGGGCGTTAAAGGTATGGTCAGAGGGCAAAAGCTGACCCTGGCAGGGTCTGATCACCTCCTGGGGAGCCTGGCAGCGTTGAAGGCGGCCTTCCTGACCTGGTTTCCATATTGAGTTTTCAGTGCTCCACCCAGCCCGGCCCCAGGATTTCCAGAGGCCACAGCAGGTTCTAACCCACAGTTTTTTTGTTTTGCTTTGTTTTGTTTTTCTGACACTTGCACAGCAAGGTGAGTGGTATGATGTCTGGAGTCCAGTCTTGGCTCTGCTGCCCATTTGTCACGTGACTTGGAGTGTGTCACTCCCCTTTCTGGGCCTCAGTTTCATCGTCTGTAACCTGGGCGGTTCAGCTGGCGGTCTCTGAAGTCCTTCCGTTAGGCTCTAGCCCAGTGTCTCCAAACAACCAGCATATGAAGCATCTGAGCTTATCAAGATGCAGAGTCATCAGGTCCGGGGTGGGGCCCGAGACTCTGCATTTCAAATACCCTTGTGCCGATGACTGGACCGCACTTTGAGAGGCACGGCCACAGCATGCTCTGCCTCTCCCAGGACTCACGTCCGCAACGGTCCACACGCACTTGGAAAAGAGGGACCTGAAACACCACGGCGGGAGCCACTTAGAACAATGTGTGGCTGTACTTTGACCTTTACTCTATGGTTCTCACAGATCTGCCTGTCTATGGGGCCGACTTGTGTGGTCTTTCAGGACAAAAGTCACACGGCGCCACTGTGTACAGACCCCCACTGGCTGCCAGGTGGCAGCATCCCTGACACACAGACCCTTTGCTATCTCACCTTGCTTGCCTCTCTCACCCCATCTCCTCCACACAATACGCCCCCATCAGAGCAAATCACCTGCCTTCCCCTAAATACCCACACTGCTTCATACCCCTAGGCTCCCGTGATACATTTATTGGGCCTGAACTGCCATAGCATGATGTTTCCTAAACTGCCTGGTTATAAGACTACATATCAATTCCTCAGCTCACCTGCTGAATCTGGACCTCCAGGTGAGGGACCTAGGGATTCTGGGGTTTTTTTTGTTTGTTTTTTGTTTTTTGCGGTACGCGGACCTCTCACTGTTGTGGCCTCTCCCGTTGCGGAGCACAGGCTCCGGACG